TAATGGGCCATAATATAGCCAGATCTCAGACAGAGCCTGGCCACTCGTGGCTAACATCAGGCCCTGCTCTGGCCCAGATGTTAACCTGATGCGGCAACCGAGAGCGGTCCGCTCAATCGCCGTTATTCCATGCGGTGTGTGGGCCAGATGATTATGCGTGATGTGGGCCACATCCGGGCCAGAAAGATTTTGCTATCTGGGACCTGATTAATTGTGGAGTAAAGGACAGAAACTCAACAATTTACGCAACAAACACACAACAAACACACAAACTCCATGACAAAACATTACATGTGTATAATACTTATAATTGCTAATAGGCTAATAGATTTCAAGGACAAAATCATAGTCTCCTGCACCTGCTGCACTAAGCGATAATGGACCTTGGATGTAAATGCCATCATGTGGGACTCAATTAAATTAATATTAATATTTAAGCTTACGAAAATCATGATTTTTAGCGCAAAACTAACATTTTATTAAACCATTTACTTTGAATCTTTTGCTACATTTTCAGACATTAAGAAAAAAAGATTTACTTGAAGGAATTAAGCCTAATATTAGCGTTCTAGTTCATGGGTTGAATAAACATGCTTTTTTTTTTTAATCTACGACGGCAATTTAGCTTAACAGGCTAACAGATTTCAAGAACAAAGTCGTAATTAGAGGTCGACCGATATTGAATTTTACCGATACTGATAGCTAGGTTGGTCCGTACTTGCCGATAACCGATTAATTAACCGATAGTTTTTTTTTCTAACATATCAACTTAAAGTCTGCTTTAAAAAATGATCAGTTCACCAACAAAAAAACAGTACTGAGTCATGAAAATGTGCTATATGAAATAAATATGAATATATGAATAAATATTGAGGTAAATTAAAGACATGCTTTCAAACTGAAACAAAAAGTAACACTCCAAATAAATAAATAAAAGTTATATACAAAATGAATTATAATAATTATAATTATATAATTATATAATATTATAATTATATATAATATTAATTATATATAATTATATATAATATTAATTATATAAATGTATATTAAATGTGTAGTCTCCCACTATATTTGCTTCTATTTTGAAAACTTTTTTCTCTCTCCATAGGCAGAGGTTGACCAAACTGTTTGTGTAANAGATGTTAAACCGTAGGTGCTTTATTTTAGATCTACTGTACTCATGTACAACTACAGAATTCTTTTTTTCTTTTTTGCCCTGTAACAGGGCAAGACAAACAAAGTCTTGTCAAGTACAGAAAAAATTATTAGAAGAACTCCATGTTGCCCTGAAATGGCAGCTCCAGCATCTATAAATATGTGAAGTATAAGTTCTTATTTTGAATGTCTAGGTGACCCTTTTAGTTTACATTGTTACTGACATTTTATTGGTGCTGCAAGGTTAGATTTGGGTCATGAATCCATCGTCATTGTAAGTAGTACATGAGAACTTGAAGCTTTCAGATGATCATTCCCCTTGTCATTGTAGAGGAAGCAGTAAACACATGGTAATACAAACAGGAGGACACCCGGTGGTCGTATTTCTATATTTTTCGGGTTTAACACAAATCCAATAAGCAAAAATGTTAATATTTAATTTAGAATTCACCTCAAGAGTCTCATGAAAATAATCTACGTTCTAGAATAAGGTCTGATTATTGCAGGTTTTGATGGTGCAAGTGTAGGGACAATTTTAAAGCCTTTTAGATATTTTGAGATGAAAAAGCAAAATGTATATAAACTTTGTTTTGTTGTATTTTCTACACAGGTGATAACAGGCTTCATGATCGTGTTCATTATCAAGGTGGTAATCCATACCCAAGGTTAACCAGCGACACTATGAGACGTATGTGCTTCTGATGCTAAATAATTTTTAGTTTTTCTTAATGCCTACAAATCCTAAATTTTCAATGGTCTGTTCCAGCCATGAGCTTATCCTATCAAAATTTGGTTTTACAATGTTTTAATTTTGTAATAGGTGGCACCAGACCCGCAAGAAGCACTTACCGCATGTCAACTGCAAGTAAGATATTATATATACAGTATGTGGTGTGTTTAAAAGCCTAGCCAGTAAAATAAAATACAGAATAAAGCTAAGTCAATACGCATTCAATTTGCTGTCAATGTTTGTTAGAACTGCAAGTATTTGTTGCTAACGAAGTATCGAATGACAGTGATGATACCAGTGCTTTTGCTGCCATGCCTAATGTGCTGCATAAACACAGTGTCACATTCAGAAATTTAAGTAGTAATGTGTAGAGGTTTGTGAACATATTAATGTACTGTTTTTTTTTTTTTCCCCAGGGTTCCAAAGGAAGGTCTTTGAGATGTTATTTGACATAAAAGAGGAACTTCAGCGGGTAGCTGCTATTGTGGACCCTGGAAATACATCCTCATCAATAAAGAGACTGGATTCGGAGAGTGAGCTGAAATCCTTTGAAGCGTCAATGAAAGATGAGGAGAAGAAGTTGATCTGCGTAAGTTTTAAATGTGACAAAAGGAATGTGCCCTTTTTTAAATATCATATTACAGATTGTGATGTCACATTTAGGTTCAGCAACTGTCCAGAGTTGGGGGATCTTCTCTCAGGGACTGTGTCAATAAAGTCATGAACAGGTATGTATTTTACCTTGCATTGTTTGTATTGCTGCATAATTCNTTTTTTTTTATGTTTTATCTTAACCATAACTTAACCATATTTCACTTGGAAGAAGATATCTTCTGCCAACATACTCTCAGTTAAATTTCTCCATGTTGTATTTTGTGAACACAAGCTCCTCCACATGTGAGGGGAGCAGTCTGGAGCGATGTGGGGACACAATATCTCCTGCTGTGCTAAAGATCCTCTCAGAGGAGACACTTGTTGGGGGGCAGGTGAGATATTTCATTGCCACATGAGCCAGAGCTGGCTGTGGCTGCATCATTTTTGACCAGAAGGTCACTGCAGGATCTGAGGTCAGTGATTCAGTGCTGTCCTCAGCTAAGTAGCTCTCAACTATCTTGAGGGAGGTCATAGCACCAGCTTCTTTTACTTTTGTTTTCACATCTTGGTAAAGTTGTGGTATAACTGTGCGAGAGAAATGCCAACGAGATGGTAGTTGGTATTGAGGTGCAACCACATTGAGAAGCTTGCGAAAACCTTTATTCTCCACTACTGAGTAGGGCATCAGGTCAAGGCAAATCATTTCTCCCACTGTGTTTGTTATTTGCTTTGCAGTGGGGTGGTTGGGTGGATAAGCCTGTTTTGCATTAAATGCAGCTAATATAGGTGATTGAAACTGACTTGCAGGGGCAGAACATGGCTGTGATGATGATTTGGTGCTTGTGGAGGGTTTGGCAGAACATGGTTGTGATGATGAATTGGTGCTGGTGGGGGAATTGGTGCTTGTGGGGGGGTTGGCAGACAGTACCAGGAGAGGATGCTTTAAGTGCATGTGATTATGCATAGCAGATGTTGACAGATGTTTGATATCTCTGCCTCTGCTGATTTGACCTTTGCACACATTACATATCACTTTGGTTTTATCTGTAGCACTGACTGTAAAATGCTTCCACACAGAACTTGAGCAAGTTTTTTTGGCTGGTGGAGGACCAAGAGATGGCTCAGCAGCAGCCACACTCTTTTCTATTTGGCTGCCCAAATCCATGTGGGGAGTTTCAGCTAAGTTAATTAGTGACGGGAGGCTATGCTAAGTGAGGGATAATGTACAGGCAGCCAGTAGTTATCGCAGAAATAAGCCCCGACAGTGTGATCAGGACCCGACGCGAAGCGGAGCTACGTAAGCGGAGCTACAGTACGTAAACAGGTAGAGCGAACATGAG